CCGAGCTGCCGCGATTGCTGGGTGGTGGGGACCCGGACCGCTTCTGTGCCAACCGCGCTCCCAGCTCCCTCCAGGCGCAGCGGGGCCTCTGGTTTAGCTTCCCGCCGCGCCCCCAGCACCTTCGTGCTCTTGCTAGGTCAAGGGCTTCCTGTTCGGTGTGCAGAGCCTCGAGGGTGGGGCCTAAGGGCCTAATGCCTTATTCTCTGTCTCTCTTTTTCTTTTTAAAAAAAATTTTTTTTTGAGACAGGGTCTCACTATGTAGTTGAGACTGACCTGGAACTCACTGTGTAGCCCAGGCTGGTCTTGAACTCGCAGCGATCCTCCTGCCTCAGCCTCCCAAGTGCTGGGATTACAGGCGTGCGCCACCACGTCTCTCTCTGACTCTCTGTCTCTCCACTTGGAGGATGGAATCCAGGGCCTTTGTACTGAGCTATACCTCCACCTCTTTTTATTCTTCATTTTGAGATAGGATCTCACTAAGTTCCCCAGAACTTGGAATCCTCCTGCCTCAGCCTCCCACATAGCTGGGATCACAGGTGCATGCTACCACACCTGGCCCCTATTAGCGCTGGTAGTGTCTTCCAGGTTTAGCACTGTGCAGTGGAGTGGCAGGTGGTTAATGCAACCATAATTTTATTTAAACTGCATGCTAATAATTATTGGTTGATTCGGAGGCAGTTTTGTGTTAATATATTTTCAGTTTATCAGAAACTCCCATAGCTGATGTTGACTGCAAATGTCCTCTGTCTTGGCTAAGATGCCATTCTTCGAAAGCCCAAGTCCCACTCCCACGAAAGCTTCTCCTTAGGGACCCTCCTTAGGGGATGTCTTATTTTTAACTTGTCTTAAAACCCAAAGCAAGAAACGAGCGTCACAGTGAAGAACAGAAGTGCTTACTGCAGCCAGGGTCAGACCCGTCCTCACATAGACGGTCACGTCAGATGCCTCACCTCTCGCCACGGAGGAGGGGAGCCAGGACCGCGGCAGTGCCACGGCCGAGGTCGCAGGCGGTGGCTGGGAACCTGTGCCTCCTTGGTCCCCACCTGCCCTTGGCTCAGCGTCCTGAGGGGGCGGGGCTGGGGCTCACCTGATTGGTGTAGGGGATAAAGACGGACAGCACCATCTCTCCGGGCCGCAGGCTGGCCTCAGGGGCCCCCTCGAGGAAGGCACTATCCAGTGGGATCTGCCGCTCCCCTTCTGTGGGAGGAGAGACAGGATGAACTCAGGGAGCTGTTGGGGAGGCGGTGGGGCTGGGACCGTGGCTTTGTCCCCTGGACCCCCTGGCCCGGCCGCAGAAGCTGGCCAGTCCACAGACAGTGGTGGGCCGGGTCTCTGGGGCCAGCGCTCACTGTAGAAAAGGCTGAATGACCTTTCCAGAGTCCAGAGGTGGCCAGGGCCGAGTGGGTTCCTGCTCCACACCCACCCTTTGATTAGAGTCCCACCGAGTGCAGTGCAGCCGCACACGGTCCTTTCTGAAACAGCTTCTCATGTCCTCTTGAAATATGCAGTCTTAATCCAGCCACAGGCCCTCTCGCCCCTCCCGCCCTGGCCATTGGTAGCCATCAGTAGCCCTAGAAATAATATGCATTTGTTTTCATTTCCCCAAGTTTCCACCATTTCCCACCACAAAGCTTTCTTTGCGCACAGAGAGGCAGGGAGGAAGCGCCCCACAAACTCCATTTCAAGTGCAGAGTCCGGCAAGAAAAATCCCCATCTTCCTGGGACTCCGTGTGACAGCTGTTAGGAGCTTTTGGAGCGGAGAGAGAACCTCATTCATGTTTTCCTTCAACTTCTTCAGTACTAATTTGGGCTGCTCATAAACTGGCCAGTTTTAGGAAGAATACTCCAGGGCATCAAATCATCGGATCTTTAAGATCAGAACCTCTGGGGTGTGGACAGCTCCCTTCTGGCTCTGGGGGGATGGACTTGGCCTGGGTGCCTTAGCTGGCACTCACCCTTGGATACCAGGCGGATGGAGGCCTTCCCTGCTGCCAGGATGGGGTTCAGGTCAGAAATGGTAGCCCGGGTCGCCACATGTCCTCCTAGAGTCTGGATAAGAAGGAAGGGTGTTCAAAAACCTGCACTCAGTCATTGGACAAATAAGGAATTGTGTGTAAAGTTTTAATTCTCTTCTTGGCCTCACGGGAAGGTCTGGCAGAGTTTGGAGCAGCTCTACGGATTACGACAGCACACTGTGCAAGGTTCCCACCCTCGGCACGTTCATTTACAGAGACAGACAAAGAAGAAAGCAATGGGAATTTGGGATCTGGGGTGTCACGTTAGGGGGGAGAAGGTCTGGCCAGGGGGGTTCAGCTGTGTCCCAGACAGAATGGCTGCTGTGCTGCCATTCAGACCTGCAGTGAGGGCACCGCACCTGGCTTGACCCCAGCCCTTGCGGACCCATGGGGACCAGCTGTCATTGAGAGGAGCAGTGTCACCCCAGAGGGACAGGGAGGCAGACAGTGAAAATGCACAGCAGGCTTTGAGGGTCTGTGGAAGGGCCTGAGATGGCAGGAGAAAGGACTCCCCAACCCCAGGTCCCACCAGGCCCATCCTGTGTGGGACCGGAAGGTCGAGCGGGTTCCTCTGAAATCTTTGCCGAGGAGGAGCCCACCAAGCTCAGCGAGGGGATGCTGCAGATGCGGGAGCAACAGGAACCTTAGAAAGCGACTGGGCCCGGGTCTGGGAGCAGAGCCGCCAGGACTCTCGGGAGCACAGCACCACGAGCCTCAGTCCACACAGGCACGGACGCCGGCAAGCAGGACAGGGCAGCCCTTGCAGTTGGACCTCGTGTCCAGCTCTCTGGGGTCATGGAGCTCCTGGGGCCATCGCACTCTAGGGTTCCTCACTCTGGACACACAGCATTCACACTCATGCTCACACTTGCACTCACACTTGGGCTGCAGTTGTGCTCCACCCTGACCCAGACCCCGATGTGCACCTCGGGGCAGAGCTGTGCCCGCCCGGCCCAAGTCCCATCCGCCTCGAGGGAGCACGCACAGCCATGCTCCTGATCTGGGGCCCGGCCAGCGTCCGCAGGTGCTTCAGCAGCGCACGGCACGTCTCTGTCTTCTCCGGCGGTTGCTCAGAAACAACGGACTGCAAGGTGTCGCTCAGCTGGGCCAGGCTGTGTCCTGCGCCTATGGTCACCCCTGGAAGGGAGAGCGCGACAGGAGCCAGCGTGAGAGCCCCTGGAGCAGGCTGCAGGAGAGGACCTCCCACACGCAGCCCCACGGCCCGACAGCAAGCACTGCAGGCGTCCCCTGCCTTGTGCCTTGCTCCATCCTCTTGGTCAGCCTCACGGGTCCTGGGCTGGGTGCGAGTCAGACTCTGGTATCTGAGGCCCAGGGCTCCTCTGCTTTTCTACAGTAGGTCCACCAGATAAGGAGGCCCCAACCAGGATCCCAGATTTTTTTTGTACCGGGGATCGAACTCGGGTCCTTGCTCTTGCAGGGCAGGCGGTGGAACAGCTGAGCTAAATCCCAGCCCTCCAGATTATTTTTAAAGCTCTTTCAGCCTCATGGGAACTGACTGCGAGGGGTCCACTGCGGCCTGCCCTCCCTTGGCAGACGCCAGCACAGCCACTTGCTGAGCTCCAGGTGTGCTGGTGTGGGGTAGCACACCCCACGGGAGTGGAGCAGCACACGGCCCCAGCACACACATGTGCACACAGGGACGCACACTGCGGCCCCGGTACTGGGCCTCCCCAAGGGCCGCGCAGGGGCACAGGGCCTGCTGCTCTCAGCTGAGGGCCGCCGCTCCGGCAGAAGTCCCTCCCGCCCTCCCACCCCAGCCATTGGTACAGACCCCCGACGGGTGGAAGACAGGTGCTCCGCTGAGGGGCCGGGCTAGAGGACACGGGGTCTGCACTCAGGCACTTCCTGTCTGCTGGCTGGGGAGAGCCCTCCTGTGAGTATGGCCTCCCCCAGCGGGTCACACGTGGCCCTCGGGTGGTGGTGCTTCTGGCGGGACGCTCTGGTGCAACTGCCCAGGCGCGGCGCTGACCTGGCCGCCTGGTGGCTGTGCGGGGGGCCTGATATTTACACCCTTGGACCTGTGTCCCCAGTGGGACAGCGGCGATGCCAGCTCCAGCTCAGTCCTCCTGGGGTGGTGAGGACCATGACACGGGGCTGGGAGTCCCCATGAGACTGGGAGGAGTGTGGAGGTACGTGGTGCTGCTGCCAGTTTCCTCTTAGGTCTGTGGCCAGCGTTGGGTAGTGTGTGTGCGTGTCCCCAAGTGTGGGTGTGCATGTGGATGGGAGTGGGTGAGCCTGGGCAGCTTCATGGCCCTGGGAGTGACGGGGAGGAGCCCCTCCCCTCTGCCCCTTTCCACGCCAGCAGCCACGTGGTCCTGTGCCACCGGGCCACTGGGCCCTGAGCCGGCAGCCAGGAGAGGCGGTGCTCACCGTTGTCCTCGGAGTTCACCAGACAGAGCTCCGGAAGCCGGGCCGGGGAGATGAGCACCGGGTGGAATTCACCTTTAAATTTGATGTTGGGTCCTTAAAGTGAAAGGCATTTATGGCGTTAGACCCAGACTGCTACGGAGTCAGGCACCTCTGACTCACTGAGAGTGACGCCTCACTTGCTAAACAGAGCATCGAAGCGTCTCAGGAGCACGACCATCACTGCTCAGCACAAGGGGCAGTAAAACCGTAGGGCTCCGTGTCTGGGTCCCTCCCAGGGCAGGGAGCGCCTACCCACGGTCGTGTTCCCCATGACGAGTGGGGCATGTGGGAAACTGGCTCTCAGCTGCAGGAGGTCCGGCAAGGTCGCTGGGGCCAGCCAGGTGGTCCTCTCCCCCAGAAACGTCAGCCTCCTCCTGCTGGGGTCCTCGGCCATCCTCTGTGGGAAGCAAGTCAGCGAATCCCCTGAGGCTTGGGCATGGCTCCGCCTGGCTCCAGTTCAGGTTCGAGGGCTGCTGGGGCCTTGGCTGCCTGGTGCTCCGTCCTGCTGTGCGGTACAGGCAGGGCGTCTGCGGGCCCCTGGGCAGTGAGCAACACTCGCAGCCTGTGTCAGCCATGTGACCAAGGAGGGCACATGCGGCAGCGGGGGCCGTGTGCGGAGTGGCGGCACCAGCCTTGGGTCCTGGTCCTGCCCTGTGGGAACTCGGAGGAGGCCTGGCTTTGGGATCAGGTCTTTTGTAGGTAAAAACCCACTTTCAGGTAAAATTACCCTTAAAAGCAGCCTTGGAGTCCCTCAGCAGGTACAGAGTAAGTACACAGTTTACAACTCTATCCCTGTGTTCCATCTTATGTGTACATTTACACACATATGATGCTAGACTCACGCTTGGGGCCACGCTCTCTCTCAGGACCTCTGCCCATCCTCCAAGCTGGGATTGCAGAGGTCACTGATTGTCACTGCACTGCTCTACAGTTGTCCCAAGGCCACCTTGGTGCACACTGCAGTGTGACCCTGTGACCTTGGGATCCCCAGGGGTCCTCACCTGTGGGGGATCTGCCTGCATCACTGATCAGCTGTTAGAGCTGCAGACCCTTACACAGGGCGCTGCCCCCTGGGGGAGGCAGGGATACTCCCCTTTCAGGGTGCAGCTCAGGGAGGGTCTTACTATCAGCTCTGGTGGGAAGATGGGCTCCTGGGAGGGATCCAGCGGCTGGAACTCATCAGCGTTGTACAGCTTGGTGCACATCTGAACAGACAGAGCAGACAGCCACTTCAGAGACGCTGAGGCCTAGACCTGGGTGACATCCGACAGGGCTCCCTGCCAACACAGATCCTTGTCCTGGAACTCTTTCAGGCTTTTTGTGGCCTGAATCCAGCTGCGCTGCACTTTACTCACCCACAAGAACAGGAAACTTGTGCACCTGTGGATTTCAGGGTGTTTCCAGGACGCCCAGTGCTCACCTCCTCCTGTGCGTGTGTGGAGCCCCGCTCCTCCTCCTCCTGCTCCAGACAGCACCTTCCTGACCCCTTTGCTGGGCAGGCAGTGGGTTCCTGGGATTAGCGAGCTGAGGTCAGATTGGATTGGGATCCTGCAGCAGCTGTCTGAGCCCTGGCGGGTGAGGCCGCAGCCTCCCAGTGCCGTGTGACCAGAGGGTGAGGACTGGCACCGGAGCACAGCCACTGCGCCCGGGCTCCCTCCTGCGGGATCGTGTGGTCACTGGGGCATGGGCCCTCCAGTGCCTTTCAGACTTTCCCCACCACCAGAAACCAATTAGTGCCCAGGTTCCTTGGATGCTGCTGGCAGCATTCTGAATCCTCCAGTGACCCAGGCCCGGTGCTTGCCTGAGCTCCAGGGCCCTTCCTGGACCAGGGACTCTGGTCAGCCTTTGGCGGAGTTCACCTGAGACACACACGGGAGCTCCTCATGCTTTCCTGGGCAGCACTGCTGGGGGGTGGGGGGCAGGAGGCCGAGGCCCGGGCACAGTGCCTGTGTGAGTCCAAGTGTGGGCAAGGTGGGCTCAGCCTGACCCTGAAGGGCGCGGTGGGAGTGCTAGTGAGCTCTTCGAGAGGAGAGGGGAGGCGAGCGCGGTGCCCTCGGAGGAGCCAGCTGAAGGGGCCGGTGCAGGGCAGCATCGCGGGGGGAGCAGCATCGCGGGGGGAGCAGCACCCCCTCCACATTTCTGCGGACCTTGGCCCCGGGGAGCAGCCGCCCAGTGCCAGGCTGCGTGCTGAGACTGTGGGTTGGAAGCGGCGAGTGCAGCCCACCTCGCCCACTCCACAGGCAGCTGCAGGCCATGTCTGCTCTGCTTCTGTAGACGCAGTGTACTGTGTGTGTCTCAGAGCAGTGCCAAATTAAGGCTATCAGCAAGACAGATGATAAAGGTTTGCTTTGAAAAATACAAAAGAGGACAATTCACAGCTTTCAGTGGTTTGGAAGGGCTGAAGGGGATTATTAGAGAGATTATTGAATACAATAGATTGATTGTTTCCTGTAAAAGTTCACTATGTATGAAGTCAAGAGAATGAAGGTTCGTTTTTCAAACTTACCACACAGAAGGTTTTTCCACTTTCTACAATCGGTCGGTATCCAGTGCAGCGGCACAAATTACCTGGTTAATGCAGAAAAGAGTTTTAGGGAGTAACAGAAGCATTGCACCTCTGTGCTACGTTTTCCATAAAATAGTGGTTTTAATAATTTGATTTCTCTTTGTTCCCTAAGCCCAACCACATTCTTTTTTGTGCATTTTCTCTCCCTGGCGATGTTCTTTGAAAACAGGCCCTGTGATTGTGTTTTCTCCCTCCGTAGTTTCCCCTGATTCTCACCCTGTCCTAACTGCCCACCTCTCTCGCGGGCCCTCCCTGAGCTGCTGTCCAGGGACAGAGGGCAGAGCAGCTTGTGGGTGGTGTCCTCGGCCTCAGAGGTGGGGCTGGCAGGGAGCTGACTACAGAGGGCAGAGCTTCCCTGCGTCATTCCGAGCATTTGTAGGCAGCTGTCCCCTAACACCTGGTGTCCAGGCACCTGGGGAGTAGGTGTGTTCGTTCCAGAAAACTACACCTGTGCACATGCCTTTTTAGGGGTACAGAATGGTGGTATTTGTAGATTTAAATTTGGTAGCTCTTGGTTATAAAAGAACAAATTGCTTGCTAAGTTTGTTTGTGATAACTGCTTGTTGTTTACGGTCTCCTTGATCTCTTATTACAAACCAGGACATAAAGACATGGAGGATCTGAAGGTCTCTCTTCTTTGCAAAAATTAATTTTAGAGAGTAATGTTAATGAATGGATCTAGCAGACTAAACACTAAACAGCTAACTTGTGCTCTCTGCCCTTGGTGAGGGTCATGCGACCACGTCAGAAACGGCCCACGCAAGGACCCCGGGGAAGGAAAGGGGTTGCCCGGCCCTGACCAGCCAGCCCTTCCCGGGGGAACTTGGACAAAGCCAGTGGAGGAGGCCGGTGTGGGGTCCCCGGTCCCCTGGACCAGCTCACCGCCCAGCGCCTCCGTGACCTGGTCCGGAGTCGGGTCCGGGTGGTTGCGCAGCAGCGTGTACAGCGACATCACCATGCCGGGGCTGCAGAAGCCGCACTGCGTGCCGTGGCACTTGGCGATCCTCTCCTGGGGTCGAGACACAGGTGCCTGGGACTCGGCGGTTCCCCACCTCGAGTGCCAGCAAAGCAAAGCAGAGCAAGCTTCCTAGGGCTAACAGCAAGCAGACGTCCGGGAGAAATAGCTGGGCTCTCGCAGTCAGATTGTGCTGTTTTGCCCTCAGGACAGGCCTGGTGGCCAGGTGGCAGGAGTCACCAGGCACTGCCTCTGGGTGCTGCCCAGCAGGAGCCGCTCTCCGCACGCTCAGAGCTGGGTCCTCTGCAGCTCCTCTACTGGGAGACGCCAGTGACTCACGGGAGCTGCCTCATCTTCAAAATCAGGGTAGTACAGGCACCAGCGGGCCGGGAGTAAGTAACGAACGCATGCTGCTCCGCCAGAGTCCCCACACATCCTGCCTGCTGGTCTCCATCCTATCACAGTTTCTGACAGACCCAGTGGCAGAGCCTAGGAGAACCGAGGGGTGCTGCAAATGGGCTTGATTACACACACTCGGGTCAAGGCGACTCAGCAGGAATGGGAAACCACCCTTTCCCCTCGCTCCCCGAGGGGCCAGGCTCTGTGCTGCTGTCTGGCACTCTGCTGGCACGGGCTGGGTGGGTTTGATCCTGAAGCCCACAGGATGCAGCTCCCAGGATGAAAGCCAAGACCCTGTGGGTGGCTCTCAGGAAGGACAGGTGCTGCCCTGGACTGGGGCCAGCGTGGCCAGGCTGGGTCTGTGCTTCAGACTCAGCAGGTGGAGCTGGCTGTGATGTTCATGCCCAGCGCTCTGTGGAGCCCTGATTTAGATCCACCCTCGGACGTCTGCAGTACACATGCTTCTATCTGGTGGATACAATTCCCAAACTCAGGAACTGAAAGTTTGTGCAGTTTCACTCATTTATTTCTGTGGCTCTGGCGACCAAACCAGGGCTGGCAGCAGCAGGGCAAGGTGCCGCCCCGAGCTACACCCAGCTTAGTGTTCCTCAGAGCTGCCTTCAAAGACTTCAAAATCCCGCAGACCCAACTCTTGATTCTCACAGGCTTGGACAGGTCTGCTCCAGGGCACTTTTGAGAGAAAGATCTGTGCAGAGGACTGTGCTATTGATGATGCCCAAAGCAGGCTGTAGAGTGAACCCCACAATTGACTTGTTTGTAGAAGTGAGTCTGGCTGAAGCCTCCGAGCTGAGGTCAGAGTCACTCGCACCCAAATAATTCTGTTCCCACAGCTAAAACCTTCAGACGGGAAGGACAGTGTTCTAATCACAGCCTTGTATTTTGTCTATTTGGTTCCTAATTTGAGATTGCTTTGTCTCATCCCTTATGAGCCTGTTTACATTAATTTCCACAGAAACCACACAGTCACCCTTACCCCAACTGATTGTCAATAAAAGTCAGTGCCTGGGACTGGCCAGGCCATGTCGGCTGCACCGGCCTTGGACGTCCTGGCCCCCGCCTTCTCTCCTAGTTCTGTCTCTCAGTGTGCTCCTTTTCTCAGTCCCGCACTGGTCAGGGCGCTGGACCCTGACTGCAGAGGATTCTGGCAGATCTGCCGATAGAGCAGGAGGCACTGTCTAGTTTGGTTGAGAGTCAAGTGTGCACAAAGCCATCAGAAGGTGGTGGAAGACAAGCCTGTTAGCAAGTGTCGCCCACTCGGAGCCTTCCCGCGGGCAGGCGTGCAGGGCAGGGGCCGTCCGCACACAGTGGCACCTATGGAAGCGTCTGCTCCGCAGGGAGACAGCTCTGCGCCTTCTGCAGCCCCTGCCCTGTGGGCGCCTCGTTACTGCAGGGTTCACGGTGCACCGGGCAGGTTACCTGAGGTGGAGAGCACTGCAGAGTTTTCCTGCACGACCGGCTTCTCCCTCAGGGCTCAGTAGTCCTGAGTTCGGGGAGGAGCTAGTTCTCCTGTGAGCCTCCCATCTCCCTCTCTCTCCTTCTCTTGTCAGCCTGACCTTTCTCTGAGGACAGAGATGGGCCGGGAGGAGTTCATGGGGTTGTGAAGTGTTAAAGTCAGTGAGAGAACCTCGGGGAGTCTCTGAGATGGTCCTTCGCTGTGAGGCTCGGAGTAACTTACAAGCACAGGGGAGGATGTGGAAGCCAGTACTCCGGTACGCAGGCCATGGGGTGCTGCACATGCATGTAGCCCGGGCGTCTGCTCTCACCTGCACGGGGTGGACCCTGGTCCTGATGCTCCCCACGCCTTCCACGGTGGTGACGGCCGCCCCGTGCAGCGAGCACAAGGGCACCAGGCAGGCGGTGGCTGGGTAGTGGCTGTGAGGGAGCTGTGTCAAGGCTCAGACTGCACCCGAGGAGCAGGTGGGTGACTCAGGCGGGGGAGCAACCCAAGAGCTGTGAGTCCCCGCGGACAGGACATGCCCACTGCAGATCGGGAAATCCGATGCTCGCTAAGCCCGAGGGCTGCTGCGGGTTGGTACAGGACGACGGGCACTGGGAAGAAGCACGAAGCCTTCCAGCTCCTATTTCACTCCCCTCGCTCCAGGGAGGAAGCCTGCCGACCGATGATTAGTTGCTCCTGAGAAGCCTGTGGGGCGTTCAGCCCCACGATTCTCAACCCGGGTCCTGACCCGGGTGAGTTGGCCGGGCGCAGGGAGGGGCTGGGCCTAGCTGTGTGGGGGGCGCCGGTCGGGCCACACTCAGCTGGGTCTCTGCCTGTCTTCCCCAGGTCGTTCCCTTGAAGTCTTCCTGGGCTTGGCTCCCATCTCCCCAGTGACGCTGCCCCTGCCTGCTGCTGTCCTCGCCCTTACCCTGCGCCTCATCCCAGAAGGAAAGGCTGCGATGGCCTGGGCAGCGCCCACTCCCACAGGCCCTGCTTCCGCTCCCCCTGGTGCTGCTGCCCCACAGGGGTCCCGCCCGCAGCCAGGACCTTTCTAACTTGCATTTAGAAACAAGCCAAGGGTTCGCTGTGATCAAAACAAAGCACAGCGAAACTCTACTTCTCGCCCAGTGCCAGCCTAGTTTTCTTTCCTCCCTTTGTCCAAGTTTATCCAAAAGTTGCTTACAACCTTTGTCCCCGATGCTCCCTGCTGGTTTCTGCCCTCTTTGTGGTCCCAGTGTCCGCACCCTGAGCTTCCCACAGTCCTGCTGCCTTCAGGGTGGCCTGGGCTGGAAACCTGCCTTCATTGCTGACTCATTCTTTAAACCTATTTACTTCAGATTCCTCTTTCTTAAGTATCACTGGCAAAGTGATAATATGCAAGCTACTTCCAACCGTGCCTGGTGTGCAGTAAATATTGATGACTGCTGGTCGCTTTTCTTAGCCTTGTCACTGTTCATGGTCACAGCCTCTGATAAGTTACAGCTCCAGGTGCCCTGCTCCCTAAGTGACACTGTCTACCTGGGAGCCTCTGGACTTTGAGGTCGCCCAGCCGAACCGCCCCTAGCGCTGCGTATCCTGAACATACTGCAGCCTTCCTTCCTCTGCTCCTCGCCTGAGATCCCTGGAGGAGACCTGTGTCGCTGTCACCTACACAAGTCCTCGGGCACACTGGGGGCCTCTTCGCCTTCGCCCCCCGGTGAGGCTGGCACAGATGCACAGCCTGTTGGCAGAGGACTCTTCGTGTGTGGAGACCCCACCCTCCCAGGACGCTCCCTCCTATCCTGAGCCGCTCTCTCCTGACAGCCACCCCAAAGCCTCCACTCCAAAGCAGATCAAGCCCAGCCAGGCACGGGGTGGGCATCTGCCGCGGGGAGAACACCCCGGGGCCCGGCAGTGTGTGTCAGCTGTCAGGGAGAGGAGGGGCAGAGCGCCCACCCGGTGGTGCCGAGGGGCCACACAAAGGATACCGGATCTCCTTGCTCCAGGCGTTGTATCTGGACACCATGACGGTGCAGGCGCCGCAGCCACCTTCTCCGCAGGCGAATTTGGTGCCCGTGAGGCGTACTGCAGGGAAGAGTCAAGGGAAGGGGCCCAGACCACCAGAGCAGGCCCGCGATTCCTGACCCGGTACCAGGCTGGCACTGTTTCCTGCTTAGAGAGATTGTTTGGCCTTTTGCTTATAGAGGAGGGCATGAGTGAAGTAAGTCAGACACACAGGCTTCTCTTGTATGAGAAAGCCAGAGTATAAGTAAAGTAAAGAGCAAAAGATAGACGATGGGAAACAGGGTGACAGAACCTTTGCAAATGGGGAGGAGACAAAGGGATGTGAGGAGGGAGGAGCGGGAAAGAGAAGTGAGCAGCACGAAGCTGTGCTATGTCTGTGCACCGGGTCCCCCGAGGAATGTGACTATTACGTCCTGCAAACATGGACTGATAAAAATAAAAACTGAGCTCGCCAAGGAAAGATGAGAACTCCTCAGAGTCACCTTGCCTATCTGAAAACCTGAGGTCCAGATGCATTTCTGGTGGTAAAAGTTTTCAGATTTTAGAGGTGCAAGGTAGCACCTTGAAGTCAACCCATTTACCTCCACAGAGCAGCCTGGAGCTTCGGGGCCAGGTGAGCACCCGAGTTAGCAGCCCCGCAGCCCTCTCCAGAGCTGGGGCTTGTTGTGGCCAAGGGAGCTGAACCTGAGGGGATCCCAACATGGAGGCAGGGAAGGGGCTTGTGGACGACTTGGGAAAGTTCCCAGAAGGCTGAGCTTTCAATGGTGCAGCAGCACAAAGCCCTCGCCTTTCACGGGTTTAATAAATGCTAATTGATACCTATGCCTCCTGAGCCAGCAAAGTCTGCCATCACCCAGTCTTTCTTCAGTAAGACACTAGCATATTTTCACAAAGGGAGAACAAATATGCAAATCCCCTGCCTCAGGTTCTGCTAGATCTGCATCCAAGTTCGACTGAAATTTGCTCGGGACATTTTCTGGGTGAAGCTTAAAGAGGATTTCGTGAGTGGAGCTAATTACTTCATGGGTGGAGGCTGAGGCAGAGGCTAATTCTTACCTTGGAGATCAATGTCCAGGAGGTGAAGCGGGGTTAGGATGCCCTGGTTGCTGCAGTGAGGAGCTGAGTTCTCCACAGAGCCCAGAAGGGCTGCATGCCCACCACACACCAAGACCCTGACTGCCCCGGGGAGGAGGCCAGGCCCGAGTCCCGTGGGGCCCTCTGGGTGTCCATCAATTTGGGTGTGAAGGACAGCAAAGCTTGAGGCCCCACCCTTGGCATCCCGTCACTCCAAACAAAGAAGCCAAGTGGACAGGGTCTCTGATCACTCTGTCAGCTCTGAGGACAGTTCTGGGACATGCATTTTAGGGTACGCTGGTGAGAGGGAAGACCTGGTCCTGTCCTCTGCTCACAGCTCAGCCCGCCTTCTGGCCCAGCAGCTCCTTCCTGTCATGTTAGCTCATTTTAAGGCTCATTTTTAGGCAGCATTGTCACATAAAAAATAGGATCCTCAGTTAAATTTGAATTTCAGATAAACAATGGATACTATTTGAGTATAAATATAACCTATGCATTCAAATTCGAATTTAACTGGGTGGACTGCTCTTTTTATATGTGAAATATAGTAACTCTTACTCTGGCAAAACAATCAGGACACCATAAGCTTATTTTTTGGTGCCTTACATAAATGAGCTTCCTCAGGGTCCTAAGGAATATCCAGAAGTTTCCCTGAGACTATGGGGCAGTGTGACATCAGACCAGGCCTGGTCTGCTGCTGGTTTCTCCTTCATTTCCTGTCACATCCTCCCATTCCAACCTTTAACTCCTCATGTCAGTCAGGGCAAACTTCTTTCAGTTCCTCAGAAGCACTGCATTCTTCTGCCTCTGGGCCAGCGCTGCTGAATGACCCCGAGCCTCAGTTTGCTCTGAGGACTACTCAATCCTGGCTTTCTCAGCCTATCGTGAGTGTCCCTCCCTGGCCCTAACATGGCGTACCTGTATGCCTTCAAGATGGCGCCCTCTCTGGCTCCAACATGGCGCCCTCGCATCAAACTTCCTCCTCACTAGGCTAAGGGCAGAGGCTGGATGTGTCTAGCCTATTCTGAACACCTGGGCCCAGCAGGATTTGTTAGGTGACTAACATAAGAATGTAAGAACTACAGGTGACAGCAGGGCTGTGGTGCAAGTTAGGCAAGGGACAAGCTATTGGGTGTGTCTGAGACATCCCTAGCTTTATCCTAGAGCCAGGATCTGAAGGAGATTACACAACTCTAGGAAGCCGTGTCCAGCCCCAAGTAGCCGCAAGCCATTCACTCTGTGACTTGTTATCTGGGCTGCAATAAGATTGCTTAAACTGGCAGATGCTGAAGGAAAAGTGTCAGGACCGTTGCCAGACAGGTCTGGGCAGGGTAGTCGCCCTGCATAGGAGCAGCACCCAGTGGGATCCCTGACTTTGGGCAGGTTAGGGAAACGGGGACATCTCAGACACATTCTGCCCCTGTGTGGCTGTGCCCCAATCTGGGATGACAGAGGCAAGTCAGCAGGAAACTGGGGTTTTCAGGAGCCTGAAGCCGAGATCACATGGAAGATACAGTTTAAGGGGAAGTGTAGAACTATTTTGCCCAAATCTCCACAGCCACACAGGACCTTGGGAACAGCACAGACCATCTTGTGGCTGCATCACCCAGCGTCCCTAACCGACGGCACCCACAGCCTACAGGCTGCTGCGGAGCCAGGAGCCCTGTGTCAGTGCAGAACTGCACCCCAGAGCATATCCTGCTGCGCCTGTCCTGAGTGTGAGTGTGACGCAGCTCATCTGGGGACTGGTGTGGCCACTGACACAGCTCCTCCTCTGCACTGAGTGTCTACAGAAGGGCTTAGAGAGGCGGGCGTCCAGGCCAGAGCTGAGCTGGGAGCACAGTGGCTACACTTCAGAACTGGGGATCTGTGAATGACACTGTTCATTCTGATAAGAATTGTGCAAGGGCATGGGCTGAATCGGTGAAATGTCTCGTGGGACGCTAGGGTTGTAGATGCGCGCCCCTGAACACCTGGCTGGACGCAGCGGGCAGGAGGCGTTCCATCCACATGCCTGAAGGTGGACTCGTCATCGGGGTGGGCACTGGGTTCAAAGTCGTAAAAGTTTCTCTGAAGTGAGTGCCCTCAGGGGTGCTGGATGGGTCTTTTGGTTTTGTGCAGGGGACCATAATATCGATTATGCCCAAAGCAGGCTGTGAAGAGTGAGCCCCACTCCTGGCTGTTTATAGACGTGAATCTGGCTCAAGCCTACGTGCTGAGGTCAGATTAACACACCCCAATTCCATTCCCACAGCTAAAACCTTCAGACTGGAAGGACAAAATTCTGATCACAGCCATATATTTTGTCCACTCTGTTCCTAACTGGAGATTGCTTTGCGTGTCCTTTGTGAGCCTTGTTTACATTAATTTCCATAGAAACTGCATGTAGCTGGTCTTTACCCCAACTGATTGCCAACAAAAGTCAGCGCCTGGGACTGGCCAGGGCCTTTCTCCGCCACACCGGCCTTGGTCGTCCTGGCCCCACTTTCCCTTCTAGTTCCGTCTCTTAGTGTGGTTTTTCTCTCACGCCTGCGTTGTATACTGGGCAGGTGGGGACCGGACCCCGACTGCAGGGGTTTCTGGCAATTTTGTTCAGCTAGAAAATAGAACAAACCGCATGGAGGAACAGATGTGGTCCCTGACTCCAGCTGGGCCCTGCAGATGGACACGAAGTCACTGATCTAGCGCACAGGTGCCGCTTGTTCACACTGCACATTCACACTTCGGTAAGGAAAAGGATACGGACTCTCCGCAAGTAGAACAGCAGGGTGACCTCGGGGTCGGGCTTCTGCTCCACCACCTGCAGGAGAGGGGAGGAGCTCGGATGAGGCCGCTGCTAGATGGGCTGGCTTTCCGAGAGCACAGAACACACACAACTCCCAAACACCTGCAGCCAGAACGGCAGAGAAAGGGTGGCACTGCACCTCGACCCCCATCTCTGTGGGGTTATCTGCCCTGACTCACCTGGAAATCGGCTGGGATGGCTCGTGTCACAGAATTGTGCAACGCTGGCCAGAGAAGGTTTCCGAGTCAGGGCTTTGCAGCCCCTCTGCTGATAGCTCACTCTGCCCCCACAATCGGAGGCCCAGGCAGGGAAGGCAGGCGTCTGGCAGCTCTGCCCCGCACACCTGTGCTCAGGTGTCGCTGCCTTCCCGGCCCTGCAGGGCGCGGCCAGGTTCCCCAAGGGATAGCTGGGCGAGACGAGGGGCACATCGGAAAGACGCCCGCCCAAGCGCAGGGACACCGGTCTCCTGCAGGAGGGCTGAACCCCTGCCTAGGAAAGTGGCAGCCAGCCCCACCCCCAGCCTTCCCCTGCTGCTTCCTCTTCCACATCTCCTCCCCTGCAGTAGATTTATGAAGCTGAGTAGAGCACCTTGTGCCCTAACTCTCCGTGAGCATGGACTGAGGGTGGGGACCCCGCAGAGGCAAACAGCATGGGGACACTGCTGATGCTGCATCGTGCAGCTGTGGAAACCATTTCCAGTGGGAGCAAGAGGAAGGGCAGGGTGACCGGCAGGGAGAGCCGCTGTGCCTGCTTCTGTGTTGCCGTATTCCGGGAGTGTGGCCTGATGATCACAGACTGGGTTCCCTGGCACAACTATCCAGGCCAAAAGTGAACACCCCAAGCACCCAGCAGCCCTGCCAGGGCCACCTGGCCTGTGCTGTCCCCTCAAGTACGACTCTGCCTCAGGTGCCCAGAGCACACAGCAAGGCAGTGAGGCCAGCACAGAGGGGATGGCTCTAGCTGCAAGTTGGACCGGGTGAGCACGTGGGGTTTCCAGCCACTTAATTACTTCGGGAAGCGTGTGAGGGGACAGTGTCTCTGTCTGTCAGAGAGAGGAAGAGAACGTACTAGGGGCAGAGAGGTGGTTTTACAGCCTCAGATGGACTAGACTCTCGAGCGCTGGCGTGGCGGGACAGGCACTCCTGTCTCAGCATGGACACACCTGTTGTGCCATGAATCAGGGAACTGTGGCTCTTGTGGGCTCTGGAAAGTCTCCAGCAGGACCCACGGACTCGCCTTGCTTCCTGGGAACTGGAAGCTCCCCGTGCCCATCCCTGGACCCCGGGGGCAACACAGAGCATACTGCAGCCCAGAGCATGTGAGCCCGGTGTTCGGGGAGTAGCGCAGACCCCAAAACCAGGACAGTCACCAAAGAGATGAAGGAGACTCAGCCCCACAGCATCATGAGCATCCAAATGTGTTCACATTTGGTTCAAATTTGTAGTTCACAAATTTGTGCCAAACAATTGTATTCCTAGAAAGCCACATGGGCAGTAGGTGGGAAAGATAGATTCAAGACTGACAAGAGTGGGTGCATGTTGGGAGAGAATGCAGGAAATACAGAGAAAAACTGCAGTCCTGTGAGGTGGAAGGCAATGCCAGGGTGTGGCTCCACTGGGAGCACTGCCAGGGGACCTGCGCCCAAGTCTAGGGAGGGGTGGCTGGCCACGTCACAGCCACGGAGCATTCGGTCCCAGGCTGGGATGGCTCTCCGCACAAGTCTGGCCTCACATTCCCTCAGCCCTGGGTTCACCCCAGCCCTGCAGGAAGAAAATGAAAGAGCAAACCCTAAATAAACCAACACCCCAGACTCAAGGTCCCTGCAGAGTCATGACTCTCGCTTTTGCCACCTGTAGCATCCAGGTCCTTCTCCTCCCTCTTACTTGGTGTTTGGGGGTCCGCTTTGCTATTCCTGCTGTTTGAGGGCAGGCAGAGCGGCCCAGGCTCTGGGCCCCCAGCGAAGCTGTCCTCTCCTTCAGAGAAGATGGCATCAGGTGGCTGAGGCGGAGGGGTGAAAGCTTGCAGCAAGTCACTACCTCATGTCACTTTCTGCTTTATTATTTTGCTGGGTTTTGCTAATTGCCCTGAACAGTCAGCCCTGCTGTCCACCTGCTCACAGCAGCAGAGCTGGGCTGGCCAGTCGCTCTCCGCCGCTGGGACAGCCACCGCTATGCGCTGCGGGCAGTGATGTGGTAAGGCCAAGCAAAGCCGTTGGAATAAGAGAATTCCCGCTTACTGGCTCCAAAGAAAAACAAGAATTAGGTAGAGGCCTCATGTTTTGATAACATGGCACTAAAACTTGGACTAAACAGACTCACGCTCAAGTTCTACTCGTGGGAGACTTGAGAGAGGGAGGGAGCGGGACAGAGGCTGAAGGAACAAAAAATGGCATCATGGTGGGGAAAGGTTGCTTTTATGGAATTCGTATTAATGAATATGTGAATATTCCTGTGAATCACATCATCAGCTTACCTTTCTCCCATTCACAAAGAAAACCAACTGGTCGGAGTCGGGCTGGGAAGTCATCTCGCCAGATTCCCCACGGCAGCGACTGTCTCAGTGGATCTGGCAGCACTGCACCTCGGGGAAGCCCAAGCTGCCAGGACCGCTCATACGGCAGGATTTATAGTCACCTGGCGCCCCACGCATGGCACGGAGCCCAGCTCCGCCCCTCGGCCCAGCTCCTGGCACCGCCCCGGGCAGGCCTGCGCCCTTCTGTCCCTGACGGAGCTCCTTCCTGTGCCCCTTGAGGTCTGAGCAGGAGGAAATGCAGCCATCATAATGGAGAAATCGGCGAGCGCTGTGCTGCCACCACCCTTGGCCAGATTCTTGCTGAGTACCTAGCGCTCAGGGGCGGAGGATGTCTCACCTGGTGGCTCAGGAATGACCTTGAAACGGCTCCAGAGCTTGGCCGGCAGCTGCAGGGACCATTCGTCCTGATCTCTGCACTCGCTTGTTAATTTTCAAATAGGGGCAAATGTAGTGAAATTGTGCTATCCCACCGACCCACACACAGGCTCACATGGGCTGGGCCTGCTCCCAGGACTCTGTCCGTCCTCCCACAGAAGGGGAAACTGAGGCACAGAGATGTCTGTGCCACTCGTCCAATATGGTTCCTGGTGTTTGGGGCAAAGCACCCAGCTCTGGGGCCCCTAGACTGAGTCCTGCCCCCACCCTGAGGTGCCCACTGTGGAGTGGGTGGAGGGGAGGCAGGGGGAGGGTTTGGTTGGGAGCAGGGGCTGGTGCCACATGAGCCTGGGGTGAGCGGGGCAGGACCGGAGCATGTACTGTGCAGTAGTCTTGGAAGGCTGGGTCCCAGGGCTGGCCAGGCCGTTGCTGGAGAGGTGAGGGATGCCGGTGCCCAGGGCGATCGGGTCTGTCCTTCTCAGAGTCCAAGGTGGCAGCAGGCATGGCGGTTCTGAACAGAGACGCCACCTGTCGTTCCGCCTCTGCCTCCCACAGAGAGCTGCCACCAGCTAGGGAGAGGACTGCGCTCTGGGTTAATGCAGCTCTGGTGCTTGTGGGGCAGATGATGGCTCGGAGGGGCTCTGCAGACTGGGTACGGGGGGTGGAGGGAAGAGCGAGAGGGAGAGACGCACACCAAACTCTAGGACTAGCAGTTGGGCTCAGGCGCTGCAGATGCTGAAAAGCGCATGTGCACTGCAGGCTGCAGGCCCACCGTCTGTCTGAGTCACGAGCGGGCCCAGGCCTGCCCAGGGTCACCTCAGGGGTTCCAGGCCAATCTCCACCCAGCCCGAATTGCCCGTGCCCGCGGTTCCTGTCCTGCTAGTTCCCAGCCTGCCCTTCTGAGTGCTGAGCTGGGCTGTGAAGGATGAAGAGGACTTCACAAGGAAATCAAAGAAAGGACATTTTTTGTAGAGGGAGCTGAGGCAGGTTAGAAGAAACAAGGATAGAAATAGGATAGAGGACAGGAGATAAGCACATCGTGACTCTGAGAAAGTGATTTTGAAGAAGCTGTAGATTTAAAAGCACCTAACCCCTCTAGACTGGTCAGAGTTACTCAGGGTTCCAAAGCTCTTTACTACCTGTCCCTGTTGTTCTTCTAGGCTCCTGGGTCCTAAACTGCTGAGTTCTAAAAACATAAAATAAATCCACAAAATTGCCTTGTAATTTTCTTCCAAAAATATGAATCCCCAAATCCCAAAGATTTCCGCTCCTAAACAGCCCTATTAACTGGGTTCCCTGTCCCTAAAGGCCAAGCACCTGCACATGATAGGCACGGTAGAGGGGGTGAGAAAGTCCGTCCTGGCTGCAGAATTGATAAATGACCTGAGTGACATCACAGGCCCTCGAACCCCAACCCTAAGCCAGCGGCGCTGCGTATCACCCTGAATCTGTGAGAGGATAGACGGGGCAAGGGCACCGAGGACCTCAGGGCGGAATGTGGCCCCCACACCGGCCCTAGGGTGGCTCTGGGCCCAGCCCTGACCTTGCCGGTCCTCTGGGCCTTGGCCCTGGCTCCCCAAGGTCCTCTCTGGTGGGGTCCTTGGTGTCCTTTCAATCTTAGCAGCTCCTTTGTGGTCAGACCTGGAGGCTCCTGGGGCTGAGGCTGGGCTTTGCTGGGCAGCCCGAGAATGCCCGTTCTGTGTGGCCATGCATGCGCCCCTGTCCCTGCCTGCAGCTCCTGAGCCGCATCCCGTGGCTCCCCAGAGATCCTGGGGCCTCTGCGGGCTCCAGGGAGTGGAGGAGCTGGCGGGGTGGGCAGGGGTGTGGCACCGGGTACCTTCTGCTGCCGCCGGTGTGTGACACTGCACGCTCCTGCCCCGTGCAGCTGCCTGCTCTCTCCGGCGCTGGATTTCACAGATCAGGGTGGGGTTGCCCCAAAGGAAGAGGGAGGGGAGTGAAGGGATCCGAGAAGCATTTACTGAATTCAGTGGACTTAGCGGTGCCATGGACATGATCATGGCCGAAAGGTTGCGTATAAAAGCTGGACAGACAGGTTTGTTACCACGCCGCTTGGTGTTTGCATACTTATGGTAGAGCACTGCAGGCCAGGTGACTTTTGCATTTGTCAAATACCGAAAATACTGAGGGTTTACGCTTTCTGAACCGAATTCACAGGCTCATGGATGGTAGCTATTTGGCTGTTTTCAAACTAATACAGGTTAATTTTGAGTCATCAAATACAAGCAATCTTCATTTTGAAAAGACTTAGGGGAAAATTATAGTGAACAGAATGAGGCTGAAAGTTACGTGGATGTCATGGGGGCAAACATTTCCGCACTTGCATGAAATTTCAGTTCCTCACATTGTGCTGAGACTGGAGTCAGGAGGTGACAGCCTGGTCCTGTGAGAACTGACTGAGCTAAAGTGATTCCATGCTGGCTTGCTAATGACCCCAGAGACTGTTGCTTCCCCCTCTCCTTATCAAGCATTGGGGGAAAGCTGCTCAAACTGCAAACAAACTTTCCTGTGCTAATTGCTGGCTTGGTTAACAGCCTGTCCAGGGACAATGGCATGACAAAAGGTGACCGTAAAACACTTTCCCCATAAGATAGACAGTGTGTTTGGAATCTTATCCCCTTGTAGCTGTGTGAAAGCCCTTACCTATGTTTGAACTTCTTTGTTTGAAAAACCCTATAAAACCTATACACAATCCTGTAACGGGGGCTTCAATTCTCTTAGAGAGTGGAGTCCACACGTGTGTAATAAACCTCCTTGGGTTTTTATCTGTGTCCTGGTGTTTGGTGTTCTCTCACTGGCTTGGTGTAACAGTCCAGCCTCTCGCCGAGGGATCCGGGGTCTCAGGGACCGGAGCCAAGGGCTGGGTGACCGCCATCCAACCTGTGCTGAAGCAGGCAGGCCTGGCTTTGAGCCCCAGGACTCACTCCCAGCCTGCACACCCGGTGCAGGGCTGAGGGCAGTGAGAACAGCTTGAAGATACTTCCAGGCACAGCGTCCTAAATAACGAACTTCACACACTGCAGGCAAAGAGCCACGAAATTCTTCCTGTTTCTTATGTTTCCTTAGAACAGGAACATGATGGTCTAAGCTTTAATGTCATAAAAGCAGCACAGAAGAATTGCACACAAATTGAAAAAACACTGTTAGTTATATTGAATTAAATATCATACTTTTGTTCACATTCTGGAAACATCTTTGCTTGTATGTATAATGGGGATTACAGGATAATTTGTAAATATGATAGATGAAAATTTAAGAATTGCCCTTGATTTTCTAAATATTTTAGATAAATTTATCGGAAAATAAAGTTTGTTTTTGATCCCCAAGTGTCAGACAGCCAGAATGGACAAGGCTCACAGTACCGAGTCTATTTGGAGGATCTAAAAGAAAAACCTTGAAGACAGATTAAAGAATACAGTTTAAAAATAGAAAAAGATGCGCTGGGAATTTAGCCCAGTGGTGCCGCTGCCTGCCTCATAAGCACAAGGTCCCGAGCTTGATCCCTGATTAAAAAAAAAAAAGATTTAAAACTATTCACACAGCAGCAAAATAGTTTCTTTCTAAAAAGGCATTTAATCTCTTCAGCCTTCAAAAATTATTTGACTTGCATAAGCTTGTTTTCTATCTTTCAAAGAAGAGATTCTTTTGTTTTTGATAAATAGAAAATAATTCCTAATTTGTTAATAAACTGGAACAGAGTCTGAGGTACTCAAGGTCTACTTCACCTGGAAAGAAACAAAAAAGGTGGTTTTATGAAACAGCAGCAAACATGGGTCATGAACAACATCAAATCATGCAGGTTTGAAAAGGTTTTTCTACATCTAATTGTCTATTTTAAATCTTCTGACATTAGTGGTATTTTCTGTGAGGTCCAGTCAGCAGGAGTACATTGCAGCCAGTATAGAAACAGATATTCTCGATTTAGGTGGGAAGTAAACTCGGATTAAAACTGAAACAAAGCCCTGTGTTGTGGTGTAAGCCTGTAATCCCAGCACGCAGGAAGATCAATGTAAATTGGAGGCCAGCCTGGGATGCATACCAAGTTCAAGGGCAGCCTGAATTGCATAGCAAGACAGTGTCTCAAAAAATAAAACAAGACTGTCAAGGACTTAGCTCAGTGGCACCGCGCCTGCCTCACAAGCCCAAGGTCCTGAGTTCAATCCCTGGTACCAAAAACAAAACAAAACAAAACAAAACAACTTAAATAAAGACATTGGCAAGGGCAGACAGTATTCAGGTGCATCATGATCCGAAAACTGGTACAGCTGATTTAAAATGTTTCGTAAAGAAGGGATAGTTTTCGTAAACTCCAGTGTTGATTATCCAGGTGAGTATAGTGGGCACCTCTTCATTTTTAATCGGATCCGAGGCTATTTTTCAAAGGTGTAAAGACAAACAGGAGATTTTGTTACTTGGTTTCCTTGTTCTCTTGCTTTTGTGTTGTGGGACTGAACCCAGAGCCTTGCACTGAGCCACATCACCAGCCCCCATGTGAGTTTTTTAGAAGTTTAAAATGTAATCCTCCAGCCTGGTGTGGTGTTGTAATGCTAACACTTGGGAGGCTGAGGAAGGAGGATCTCTGACTTTGAGGCCAGCCTTGGCTACACAGGGAGGGCCTGTCTCAATAAAACAGAAAAAAATTTAAAAAGCACCTACTGGAATATGGAACCTGAAAGGATAAATGGGCAGCAAGAGGGGGAAAAGCTGAACACAGAGACAGAATTCACATATGCATCACCCAGTTCGCCTTCTGCGATCTTTCACCAGAAGGAGGAAATCCACAGGCGGAGGATGGAGCCCACCGAGCTTTTCTAAAATGCAGATTCTTCTGTACTGCACAAAATAGCTAAATCCCTCAGCCTCTGCTCCTGACACCCAGGGGGTCGGAGCTGCTGAGGAGCGGGGCCGGTGGCTCCCGGTCAGAGGGCATGAAGCTCCACCCGCTGGGACCTCGCGTGCTGGAGGCCACAGCGCGGGTGGGTCGGAGCAGAGGCCTCGTGGGTGTGTGTGTGCCTGCGCCAGCGCGAGAGAGCGCATTTCAGGACTTTTCCCTGGAGCTCCAGGCTCCCGGGGGGAGCACAGGGCCCGACCCAGCCCTGGGAGTGCAGAGCAGCCCCTCCCTGTCCTCAGCCCTGGGGTGCCCAGGTGCTGGGTCCTGGGCCCCCGAGGCTGTGGACGTGGGGTCCAGCTGTGCGTGTCCCCCTCAGGCCCCCGTTCAGTGTCCCTGCTGTGCCGTGGATGTGCAGGGACAGGGGCAGTAGCAGAGGCCCTGGGGCGAAGCGGGTGACCCCGTGCTGTGTGTGGGTGTTGGGGGGTGGGGTCTGGGGCCTGAGCAGGTGGCCATAGGCCGGGGTCCCCAGCGCCAGGTGTTGGGACCTTCTGCCTCGGCCTGCTCTGGCCTGCCTTCCTGATCGGCCCCTGAGCCTTTCCTCCTCCATCCACGCTACCCTCATCTCCGCCAGCGGGTCTCCCAGCTCCACCACTAATTAACTCTCCCGAGACACACACACACACACACACACACACACACACACACACACACGCGCGCGCGCACCTGCCCCCATGCTCTGCTCCCCTGCTCGAGCCCTGAGTTAAATGAGGCCTGGGCCAGCTCCCCTGTCTGTTCCCCAGTGTCACCAGCGTTGCCAGCAGCCTGGTGACCCTGGATGTTGGCCCCAGCCGCCCTGTGTTCTCCACGCTGGCTCATGTTGTGTAACCAGCATGCCTGGGTGTCACCTCCTCGCCTGCTCTTGAGGCCTCTGCCCTGTGCCCTGAACATGCCAGGACCAGGGGCGACTGAGTCATGCCCCAGAGGATGCCGAGTTCTGTAAGTCTCCCCAGTCCCTGCCTGCCTCCCTGATGAGCCTGGGCCGTGTCCTGCGGGCCCTGAGCTGCGCCCTCCTCTGCCCTGGCCCGGGAGGGGGATGGGTTTGTCACACATGCACACTTGCACACACGTGCACATGCACACCCACAACCTTGGGCTCCGTTGCAGCAGCAGCCAGGTGGGGAGGACATCCCTGGCGTCCAGCCTGCAACTGCTGAGCAGCGCATGTCCTGCTGTCTGTCCTCCATGGTACTGCTGTCAGCCAAGGACATTGGCACCGCGAGTCCAGAGTAAGCGTGGGTGACGGCAGATGCCCACTGCCTCCCGTGGGACCCTGGAGTGGAGCGGCAGGAGCGAGCCGGGTCAGCCTCCCCTGGATTTCACGACCAAGCCCGACCACGCCTACCAGAGTGAGCCCGGCCTCAGGAGCTGGCGCTGGGTGGCCGAGCTGCAGGACGGGGCCTGGCTCTCCCGGCAGGGTACACATGGACCGAGAGGCTGCTGGGTG